ACAGGACGTGAAATACGGATATGTCCCGGGAAATACGGACGTTTGGTCACCCTAGTTTAGAATGCATGAAAATTACCAACAGTAAACTTTTTTACCAATATAGGCTTGTTTGACATTGTTAGAAACCTTAGATTCTCCACAATTCAACCACCAAGTTCATTTTATGGACACAGTGAGCACCAAAGCACAGTTAACACAGATATAACAGCATATCAAAATATAAATATGACAAAAAGCTAGGACCATAAGGGTCCACAGATTAAAAGTAATCCAGCATATATATATATATATATATATATATATATATATATATATATATATATATATATATATATATATATATATATATAAAAAATAAAAATATTCCATGAAGAGAAAATCGTCGCATAGCTGGTCATAGCTAATGCTTAGAATCTTGCTAATAATACTTACTTCATCAAACATTTGCCTGCAAAGTTTGTTTTTCGTTTTTTTTTTCTTTTACATCGTCCTCCTACCTACAAGACAAAAATGTCTTCATCTTTGTATGACTCAATTTGATTGAGGGACAGCCAATGAAGTCTCATAAGCTCCTTGCTCCTTGCCTGTCAGCCAATGACGCACTGACTAGAGATATTAACTAAATGAAACATTTATATTTCTGTATCTATATACCAGTCAATCGTCAGATGAAAATGAAAAAAAGTTTAATGATACTTGCTTTATAACTGTTCTGTTGCCATCAAAATGCTTCAGTGTTATTCTATGGATCAAATGGCACAATTTTGCATATTTGGAGAGGTTTGGAGAGGCTGGTGACACCAAAAGTTAAAAGCCCCACAGCTCTGGAACTGTTATACCTAGAGGCCGAAAACTTCAGTTCTGTAGTTGTGATTGACTTGATGTAGAACAAATGTAATAGAATGAGACGTGCCTATTCTTAAGCATGTCTTTATTTATGCTGTTCAAAGAAAACCAATTATTTTCGAGAAGAAAAAAAAAACTATTTTGAGTCATGTTTGAAATGATTAAGTTTAGGCTGCATTTTAGTCACCCTATTTTCATTTATATTTTCAGAAACTACAAGGTGTTAGCTTTCAAATGATGTATAACACATGTAATTTGGGCTTACAGTTCCTCAGTAATTTGCTTTTCCATTTGAGTACACTAAATAGGCGAAGATGACTCAAAATCAGTTGGGTTTCAATTATATAAAACTGACAAAAATTTAGAATTATGTTCATCCCTGATGAACTTTGGATATTGTCACAGAAATTCACTCTGAACCANTGAAGGTAATGTAGAGAGGGAGATACCAGCTACTAGGGTGTCCCTCTGTTTACACATGGTAGTGCATGAAATCTGTTCTTTGAAGGGGTGTCAGTAACACTACTAATTTGGCATGGTACTGATACTAAAGAAAAGTGATGTTTGCATATTTTTTTATGTTTATTTTTGATTTTCATAAGAATACAAGATTGCAAATGAAAAGAATACCCAAGAAAACCTTATAATATTGTCAAACTATTATACTTGGATTATTTATCTTTATTTATTTGCACACTTATTTAAATTGCATATGTTTCTCTTGAGAAAGCCTGTTCCATTTTAAAACTGAAAAAGGTTCATTATTCAATGTTAATAGAAATGCTGTTATTATTTAAGAGTTTTATTCATGCTATTAAAACTTTTATTAATTATTTTCCTAAGTAACCAAAATAGGTCATTTTTAGAGCCTACAGACAATTATATCACTTATTATTCCCCTTAGATGAATTAAAAAAAGATTAAAAATTATTATGTGTTCAAATCTGTTCCATGTCTTTTACCTGGCTAGACATAATCCAGTGTGCGCTTGTGTCCTTACCCATGGAGTAGATGGCCACACGGTCGATGCCTCGGTCCTCCGCCTGGAGCTGCTGCAGGAAAACTCCCACGCAGTCACTGAGAGGCTTTAGGGTGAACTGACAGCGCTCTCGTCTGGACGGCAAATTAACCGATATCACAGGTAGACCGTTCTGGTACACCACTGTCACGTCTGAGGGAGTAACAAGAAATAGAAACAGCAGAGAGACTCAGGGGTTCAGCATCAACACACAAACACTGCTTTCCAGAGATTTGCGCTCAGCTTTTTGACATTAACTACACATAGTTTCTATTCCCATAGAAAGGGTTTTATCTCCCTAGATAATGCTAATGTGAAAAGACAGACGATCAAAATGCCATCCAGGTAGGTAGGCATCACTAACCAGTCATACCCAGACAGACTTTCTCAGCAGTGAAAAGGATAAAAGGAAGACGGAGGCCAAATGGTCCCAAAACTTCATTTCCAAGTTCAATTATTTGAATTTTGCCTGCTGTTAGTTTTGTCTGTACATGCTGCTTTAAAGAGTGCTGTAAGAACGGTTAATTTTGTCCAAACAGTTCCCCAGAAGCCTCTCCGTGCATAGTAATTATCTCTATAATATAGCCCGACTGGTCCATAACCAAACTGTGGTTATAAAGACCCTGCACAGCTTGTACCATTAACACACTGAATGGTCTCTAATGACAGATCCATGAATCAACCCAGAGGGCTGTGAGCCTAGTATGGAGAGGGTCCAGGCTGCTGCAGTGAATCAGCACATCGCTGCTCAAACTCGTGCTGAGGTGAAGGATCATCAGCTGGCAGCTGCCTTCCAGTAGATCCTCTCTTTTGAACATGCGCTCACAGGCACAGACATTTCATTTCACTTTCTTGCAGAGGAACTGTGAAAGTGTAGGCAAAGTAGCTTCACTATTGCACCTATTCCCCTTTGTCTTCCTTTATCCTTCCATCACAAACCCGCTGTTTGTAGTGTCAGGGGATCTTGGGCTCCTTTATGTTGTAATCCCAAAGCTATTTAAGCTCTATTTAAAATCAAATCCTCCTGCTCTGCAGTGCTGCTGGCTCATCTTTTCTACCCATCAACCAAAAAGGTACTCCCTGAGAGCAAAAATTGCAAAATTAATAACCCGCTGGCTGCTAACTGCCTGCTTACTCCAAATAAGCTTCTGCTGGCTGATTAAGGCACAGCTTTTCTTTGGTCAGCTTTCTCATTTGTCTCTGAAGCAAAAGGTAATTAGAGGGAGTTTTTGTTTAAAGGGAATTCCATCATATGTCTCAAATGGTTAACAATAAACCAAATATGTTGCACTGTATGCAAGGGGAAATGGATTCAAACAGAGAGCTCACCTTCTGGGGTAGTGGAGGAGCAAAACAGTCTCTGGCCATGCCATGAGGGGGCGCCCTTCCAGACCTGCAAGCACAAGTGGTTGAGAGATAGAGAGAACAAACTGTTTAGATTGGTGGGTGAGCAAAAGTACTGATGGATGGATGGATGGATGGATGGATGGATGGATGGATGGATGGATGGATGGATGGATGGATGGATGGATGGATGGATGGATGGATGGATGGATGGATGGATGGATGGATGGATGGATGGATAAAAAGCCAGATGAACATACAAATGGGACCAGTCATGGAATGATAAACAACTTTAAAGACACAGGGATGAAAAGATGGACAAAGTGAGGGAGGACTGGATGAATGGATGGGGAGAGGGACAAAGGGGCAGAGTTGGGCGGACAGCTGGCTGAATAAATAAGTGGAAGAAAACAAATGGATGCACAGGTGGAGAAAGGAGTGGTGGAATAAAGGGAGACATGGACGAGAAAAACGGATGAACGGATGAATGCTAAATGTTTTCTTCCTCTTGCGTCTTTTTTTTTTTAACATTCAAGAGTGAATAAACTCTGTTAACATGTTACCACTTTAATAAACCCAATGTCTGGGTATGATTTTCCAAAACAACATCTAGTTTGTTTCAGACCAGAGCCCCACCCAAGGAAGGAAGATTAATGGATCCAACTGCAGCTTCTTCATCAAACGAGTACTGTACAGAGTCATGCATAATGAAAAAACACACTAAGCTTTCGGCTTCTCATGTAATTACTGCAGCAGAAATCACCACTAAAATGCAGCATGGAAAAAAAAAAAGAAAACGTTCAACACAAATAATGTGCTTTGGTTGCAGACCAGAGAGGAAGACATGAGGAGATGGGGGGGAAGCCCTGTTGTTTTTATACACAGTCCAATAAGAGTTCCCCTTAAAGCTGTATTGCAGATGTTCGAAGAAAAAAAAAGTAAAACAGGCTGGTCACCAATCTTGGGGCAAGCCTTGGGCGAGCAATGAAAGTCAGAACTCCTTGTTTGTAGAAATTAAGGCACCATAAAATCAGAGGCAAACGACTAAAGAGAATCAAAACCTTACTGATTAAAGTTATATGCACATTTGAGTTCCGGTCAAACTGCTCCTAATGATAAGTAGCACTCATTAACCCATCATTTAAGCAGATCAGAGCACATCTTGAAAGCCATGCCTCCAAGCAGAGCTCCATCTCTCCTGCTCTCACTCAAGTGTTAAGTAACTGTAACAGCAGAATAGCTGAGTAGTTATGTTAGATTTACAACATGCATGAAGTCCCCCATCAAGGGGAACCACAGCAGCAGCCACTTAGGGCTTTCAGGGCTTCACCTTTATGACCACAAAGAGTAAAAATATCTTAGTAAACGCCAGTAAGGGAGAGTCCCTGCAGTGGGACAGCTGGTAAACCCAGAATCCAACTGAAACACCCAGAATCCAACTGAAACACCTAGAATCCAACTGAAACACAGACTGTTTTACTTCATCAACACATCATACAAAAACCTTTGAAGGTAGAAATATATATTTTTTGTTTTTTCTTTTCTTTTTGAGATCTTGACCATCAAAGTAAGGTCTTTGTTACACTGAAAGTCATTTTTCATAGAAACTTAACTTGAACCAAACCCATCATCCCGTTAACTTACCTAACCAACTTAAAAAGACAAGGGTTTCTGCTCATTTATTACAAATTTATGCATTTTCAGACATTTCTGTTATTCTATAAAGATAATTAGAATGAAAATCGTCATTCAAAAGTGAACAATTTATTTCAGGATTTAAAAAAGGCAAGACTGATAGTGGGACAAAGTGAAGGGGCAGAAAATGGATGGATTCACACATTTGAGGAATAAGTAGATAGAAGGAAAGTATTCGAGGTAAACTGATAGACCAGACGGTACTATTGGCTGATATTCACATCAGCAGATGGGGATACAAGAATTTATTGATTCTTTAGTGCATTCAGTAGACATGCCTTGAGATCATGTCAAGGGCATGTTTTTTTTGTTGTTGTTGTTGTTTATATCCAGACTTATGCCACATTTGACATGTTTCCATGGAGGAAGAAAAAGAAATATCAGTTTCAAAAATTTGCCCCCCAAAAAGAAAAGAATAAATAAAATTAAAAAAACAGCATTAGTTAGACTGATGTGGGCTATTATAAAACAATCAGCATCATTTATTCTATAGAAAATACAGTTAGATCCATACATGTTTGGACACCAATATTTATTTTACCCATTTACTGAAACATATTGAAGTTACAGCAATACAAAAATCGTGGACATAAAGTCCAGACCTTAGTTTTAATTTGAGGGTATCCAAGCTAAAATAAGATGAAGGTCTCAGGAGTTTCAGTTCCTAAACAGGTGCCACCGTGTTTATAAAGGGACAAAACTTGGACATAAAATCAGAGGCTTTGTTATGGGAAGGATTTGGCAAATCCTAGTCAAGCAGATAAAAGGCCTGGTGTTGATTTGAGGTATGGTGCTCATATTTGAAAGATTTTGTGTGAAGAAAATATCCAGTCATAGGAGCTTTCTATTCAGAAACAAGCCACCCCTAAGCTAAAACAGAAAAGGCCCACAGAGAAATTGCTACAACCACAGGAGTGACAGTTTAATACAACTTTAAAAAAAAAGAGAAAGCACTGGTGATTTTCTCAATGCAATTAGACCTGGAAACCCATAGAAGACAATATTGGGGGATGACTGAAGAATCATTTCTATGGTGAAAAGAAACCCTTTTACAGCTGCTCGAGTGAACCAATCTGTCCAGAAGGGAACAGTAGAAGTATCAATACCCAAATCTCCCATAAAAAGAAAACTGCATTAAAAGTAAATACAGGGCTCACTACATGATGCAAGTCACTCATGAGCCTCCAGAATAAAAAGGTTAGATTACACCAGGGGTCACCAACGTAATGCCTGCGGGCACCAAGGGGCCCTCAAGGACCACATGGGGTGCCCTCAGCATCTTATGAAAACAGAACAACTTACCAGTGGACTAAGTTTGAATGTTATTTTTTTGCTGCTGCTGTTATGTTTTATCATTTATAGAGCGTTTCATCATATCAATAATTTAAAACATATAAGCATTTACAGGGATTTCAAAATGACAATATCTAGAGGCAAATTAGAAATGTAAAGAAACACAAGAAATATGTTTATTATCTATGAAGTTTAGGTGAACGCTGACTACTCTAGTTCATAGGTCAATATTAGTAGCCCATCCTGTGACTCGGTACCCATGAAGTAGCCCCTATTCATAAAAAGGTTGGTGACCCCTGGATTACACTATGCTATAAAAAACCTCAGTTAAGGAAGAACATTCTATGGAAAGATGAATTCAAGATTAAACAGAATAAAGGAAAGAAGAAAATAATTTGGGGATTAGGTCATTATCCAAAGCATATCACATCATCTGTAAAGCATGGTGGAGGTAGCTTAATAGCCTGGGCATGCATGGCTGCCGGTGGCATTGGTTCACAGGAGTTTATTGATGACGTGATGAAAAACAGAAGCACTGTGAGTTTAAATCCAGCCAAACCGATTGGTCGGCGTTTCATATAAATTCTCCTGAATTAATATACTAAATGACTTGCTATCATAAAAGCCTTAATACAAAAGGGTGTATCCTAATATTTCAAGAATTAAGTAGTCAGTTAAACAGTTTAAATCCTTTTTTGACTGCCCTAATTTTTGATCCGGTAACCTGTCTGCTAAGCAGTCTGCAGCTCATAAATCCAAACAGTCATAGCTAGCGCTGACCATCCAGTGAACTACAGGTGAGTCCCACATCACGACTGATTATCTACAGCCAAAACGTCACTCAGGCAGAGAAAGCTGCAGGGCAAGCATCAGCAATGCAACACAGCGGACCTGACCAGCTGCAGAGGCGTCTACTTTTTTTCTTTCTTTAGCAAGGGAGAAAAGGCAGAAAGTCAATAGAAGTAAAAGTAAATGCCACCACTCCACGGTGGCTTTCCACTGTGTGTGTTAGTATTGTAAATAATACCCATTGCCAACCCACAGCACCAAGCCCAAATCGTGATTAGCCTGCTGATCGGATGACATGCTGAGAAATAGCTTTTGGCCAGTCTGGAATAACTGCACCAGCTGCAGAGAGCAGTCCAGTTTCACTTTTCTCATTTATCATGATCTGTTGTTTGAAGATTTTACTGTTAACACTTGCAAAATCCCCATCAAAGCTTCCAGGAAACCCTGACTCTACACAGAAACCTCATAAACGTATGCAAACACAGCCGGACCGCATGTCTGTCGTGTGACATGTTGCTGTGTGTGAGTGCAGCAGGCGTGAAAGCACACGTGTGCCCGCCCCGTCTGTTCGCCGGGCTGTTTGTCAGCCGTGGTTGGGGAGCGGCTGGGGAGGACCTCCCCCTCCCTCGACACGTGGCCATTGAAACGATGCCTGAAATATTTAACGAAGAGGCAGCAGTCGATAGCAAAGCAACCTTGGAATCAATGTCACGCTGTCAAGTGACCGACGGCAAAGCAAAGGAAAAGCCTTCAGTGGAGATGATGGAGGGATGAGCCGGAGGAAAGAAGGAGGCGTTAAAGCAGCAAGAGGAGGAGGAGAGAAAGTGTTAGGATAAATGGAGAAGCAGGGGATAAATGGAGGCTGGAGTAGAGAGGTGTGAGTCACGAGTGCACTTACGTTTCTAACCATGTGGTGCTCATACTGTACCCCGCAGCACGAAGGAGATGAGGCAGGGCAGCAAGGAGAGGGGAGGCAGCGGGAGGGAGGAAGAGGGAGGCTGCTGATCACTGCAGTAAAGGAATCCCTTGCCTTTAAAGGGGGGAGTTGGTCCTCTTTTTCACCCCTTTCCCTGCATCCCTGAATAACTCACACTTAACCCTGATGTTCCCTTTATTGCTCTTTCATCAAAACTCATCTGCATTGCGCTTTAACCTGCCGACCACTTAATTTATGTAAAAGTGGATTCAGAATTGTTCATTTCAATGCACGAAATGTGCATGAATACCCACACCAACAAAAAGAACGAAAATTCTCATCATGAGAGAAAAGGC